AGTAGGATGTTTTGTACAAAAAAGATTTATTTATTGTATTCAAAAAATTATTTATATATACCATTTTTTACTTCGCACAATGAGGAACATATTTCTGTTTTCTCAGCAAGAAGTAGTATATACGGAGCTATTTCAGGCCACTTTTTATGGAATATTAATGTATCTCTTCCTGTTGCTATTTGAAAATCAATCTGTAACTGTAACCTCTGACATTGAGTAACATTGTATTTTTAAGTTTAGTTATAGAACATTAAAATGTCATATACTCTTATAAGTTTAGTACCAATCGCAGTTTTTAGAGTAGGATATTCATCATAATAATCTTTAATTACAGATCCTCTATTTCTTTCTGCAAATGTTTCTTTGCTAAGGTCAAAAATCAGTTGTTTTCACGGCTACTCACAATCAGTTTTGATTTTGAGTAGCTGTGAAAACAACTGATTGTGAGTAGCCGTGAAAACAACTGATTTTGAATAGCTGTGAAAACAACTGATTGTGAGTAGCTGTGAAAACAACTGATTCTGAATAGCTGTGAATACAACTGATTGTGAGTAGCCGTGAAAACAACTGATTTTTGACCTTGACAATGCCACCCAAGATCAATCTGCTAAAATCAGTAAATACAATAGATCTTTTTAAGATCTGAAACAGTTTTTTGTAAAACTTATATTTTTCGAGATATTTCACCGGTCCGATACTTTTGCCCCACCCTGTATATTCATATACATATATATTGCGGAACTAAATATTGTGACTTGACGATTTTTGTTATCGTCCGTCACTCGGAAAGTCGTGCGGAAGCCGAAAACGGGCTTCACGGCTACAGATGGATGTCGCGTCCTAACGGTAAGGCGAATAGGACGCGAGCCTGCGTGGCCCGAATATTTGGTGTATTGGATAAGAGTGCGGGTGTCGAGAGGTCGGATCAGGAAGAAGAGGACTTCAGGGAAGATTCGCTGCCGCCGAGGGAGAGAGAAGTCAGGCTCAGGAGCATCGGACGGACCAAAAATCTCAGGTGAATCGCTTCCTTATTATTATTAGCAAGTAAGGACCGACAGTTGAATCCGTTCTAAGGAGGCCTGTTTTAGCCGAATACCTCTGCTAACGAGGAGAACGGGGAGAGAGAGAGAGCTGCCGAGGTGGATCAGTCCTGAGCTGCCGCAAGGGAGCCGCTGGGCCGGAGTCGACGGACACCGCGGACGAGCGGAGGACAGCTGCTACCAAGACGAGCCCGACAAGCACATCCTCCGCGACCCGGAGCGTCCTCCGAGCCAGGCGAAGACGCCGCGAGGCTCGAGGACTGAAGAAACAACGGCTGCCGATAGGACGAAGCTCCAAGGTCGGAGAGACCGACAGGCCTGAAAGATCTAGCTTGTAAATAACAGCTAAGGCAAAACAACGGCCGAATAACGGGGGATTCCATCCTGCAAATCGGCCAATCAACGGCCGATAGCTGTCGGAACAAGCAATTCAAACCTGAGATAAAACGAGGTCTCAACGATAGCTCGACAGCTTTTCCTGTGAGCCGTGCCTAGCGAGTGTGAAGGACGTGCCATCCATAGAGCTGACGACTAAAGACGACCTGACCTCCGCATCTGTAAGGCCGCTACCGCACGCGCGGAACTATTTTGTGAACCCAGAGGGGACCGCCGCTGCTCGTTGTCGACTGCCCCGCTCCGCCGTTTGGTGAGTCCGTTCCACGGAGAACGATTTTTAGTGATTAGTGTCGCGGAGCGGTGCGGCGTCGGGGAACTGGGGCTCGGCCGTCCACCCTGGGCGAGGGCCAGGGTTCGCGTTCCTCTCGCGAAAGGAGGAGCTCCGCGCATAGTGTAAAACCCGACCGGCGAGTTGTCGATTGTCCGTCGTGCGCGAGAGATCGAGCGAACACACCGCCGAAAGCCTACGTGGCTGTCGTGACCTTCGTGGTCACGACTCAAAAATCGAAGCTGCCGAGGACCAGCATCGCGACCGCGAGCAAGGATATCTATATTGTGTTAGTAAGAATCGCTGCCGAATTACCGAATTACGCGAGTTGTTGTCGTGTGAACGCGGGCAAAACATCCCGTCCTTATAATTAGCTACCGTCGAATAAAATTCGAATAGAGAACATCCGCTTTCATTATTTCAATACCCGCCAACTACTAATCCTTCCGACATCGCGCGAACCAGCCCCTCTACCGAGAGCAGGGCTGAGCTGCCGGACGTGCGAGCGAGCCGTTCGGGTGGAGGACAAGTTGTCCTCATCGGCGAGACCACCGTTTAGAGTAAGAATTAGTGTTGATACTTTTTTTTTGTGGGTACGGACCGCCGTACCTGGCGCCCATCTAGAGCTTAGTTTTGTTCGTGTGAGCTGTCGGGTCTCGCCGGATCTGCCGAACGGTCGCCGAGGCGCGAAGAGTACAACACATTTTTGTCGCTGCACTCGATTAGTGAAACCGGCTGCACGAGCCGCGAGTGTAGAGTTACAATATTTATTACGTATATATATGTAAAAATCGATTTTTATTTATTTCGTGAATAAATATCAATGTATCACTTATAACATACGTCTTACTATTGCTGATGACCATATTTCACTACTTTGACACTTTATATCTTGGGAAATATTGACTTTTGGGACTTGGTGTAATAATAACTTTTTATCAGCATGGCGAAAACTATAACATAGTAAAATTTCAGCCAATTTGACCGAAAACCATTTTCCATAGGTTTTGAGCGGGGTCCTTACCATATATCTGTGAATAGTTCTCTATTGTACCCGATTAGCACAATCCAGCATAACTTTTGAACCGTGGCAGATAATTGAATTCTGTGAGTTGTGCTGGATTGTGTTAATCGAGTATAATAGAGAACTGTTCACACATATATGGAAATTTGCAATCTTGACAAAATAATGGACAAAAAGTCGTAGGGTAAAACAAAAATTTTACATTTTTTACATTTCCCAAGTTGTGCTGGGTTGTGCTAAGCGAGTACAACAACTTTTCCTAATGGCAAATTGACGTCAAATAATAACTGTCCCCATGGGGACAGTTGTGTTAAATTTTTGTTTTATTCCCACGACTTATCAGTCTCACGAACAGTTCTCTATTGTACTCGATTAGCACAATTCAACACAACTAGCAGAATTCAATTATCTACCACTGTTCAAAAGTTACAAGTAATTAAATATCTTGGCTAAAAATTTGACATTTTAATTTTTTTTTCTCTTAAACAGAAAAGGGTAGAGGTATCATCTTTACGGCATAACGTATAGTAGCCAAGGCTGTAACTAGCACACATTTTTTTTTTTACCTGACGCATCGCGGTTATACGTTTAACTCTTTGAATAAGGTGAAGTCCAACGGAAATGCGTTAGACTTTCCGCTGACCTGAAGTAGATACAGTGACAAGTGTCATATAAATATTAATCATATGATATTGCGAGTATTGGAAACATTAGTTATGTAACATCTATTAGCAAATATTTTGCTTTGATAGTATAACCCACATAAGGCATTGCAAACTTTTTTTCAAAATCTATTAAAAATAAAGACAAAAATTTTTTTAAACATTATAAAACTATTAGTTGACTATTCCACAGGACAGGATACAAAAGCTGAACATCACAGATCACAGAAGAAACGCATTTTATTTTTTTAAGTGGATGTTACATAAATTTTTGTATTTTTAAATATCCATTTGTATATTGACAATTTGACAATGTTTATCTGAGAGAAACATGATTTTCTTAATTAAATCTTATAGACAATATTTAATTATTACGTCATAGAACACGACATCTAGTTAATTAGAATTAAACGTAAGGTAATTACTTATACTAAATTTAAATTGTAAGAAATAATAATGTTTGAGACAATGTAAAAGCACGCGCATAGATTATCTTGGTTTAACGTATACGAGGAATCTATCTTCTACATCTCAATTGATTCTTGTATTTCTGTTCTTAATTCCTAATACCTAAATTCTAATTTTTAGATTTCATTTAGATTTTATTTACATTAGGTTGCACATAAAATAATCGTCCTTTCTGTAGCTATAGAGACTATAGCAGGGAAACTATGGTAGTACTTGGTTCCTACATAACACACATGTCTAAAAAACGTCTTAAAAATGTTTTTATGACATCATTAAAAGTTGTCTTATCTCTCTTCTTTAAGATGTTACCCGAAAAACTTCTGAATAACGTTCGAAATGAAACGTTTTTAAAACATTTCCAAAAGACGTTTTAAAACAACGTCTTAAAATTACAAATTAGGTTGAAATGTACAACGTATGCCGAAATTTAATGTAGATATTTGAACATCTATTGAAATAATAAGAACGTCCACAACTTGCGATAGACATACACAGGTGCACATATACACGCACGCACTCACGCACACACATGCATACACACATTTTTTATTTCCTAAAAATTTCAAATTTTGCCACTCAAGAGAATCTAAAGAGGGCCAAAACGTTTTAGATGATTTTTTAGTAAAATTTGCATAAAATTATACCATCCAGCGAGTTTTGTCCAAAAAAGTGTTTTTTTTCCACTATATGATGGGAAGAATATTATTGATATGATTCTTTCTTTTTGAGAGTACAATCCTTGTTTAAGTAATTCATTTCTAATTAAAGGTAAACCCCGGTTTTAGATTTGTTTATAATTTTTTTCTTTAAAAGCATGTATAGACGATCACTTGTCCATTATTATTTCATAACTTCTTAATAGCTGTTGTTGCAAAACGGTATAAATTTATTCTTTCAATTTGACGCGCTCTACACGCTCATGAAAAATATCATGTAAATTGCATACTATTCACAGTGAAGGCAATGAAATACTTAGAATACAATAGTTCCTACTTACATACGTTTATTGGAAAATAATATCTAGATAGATAATACTTACAATGAAGACAATGAAGTACTTAGAATACAATAGTTCCTATTTACAAGGACTAAACTAATTACATGCCGTACTTTTTAATATAAACGACTTGAACACATTTATTTGGCCACTAACTTGAAACTTGAAACTATGCCATTAGAAATCTCTATAATGTTTTAAAACGAAAATAATTAATGTGAGAAGTACAATATATGCTAAAACAAAAGATAGTCAACGTTAAGAGCAGTGTGTTTATTATAATTAGTGTCCAAAATGAATTGCAATGATAACTCCATGACCACCGACTTGGCATTAGACGATGAAATCGTTATTTCCGGGATTGCGGGAAGACTTCCCGGCTCCGACAACGTCAAGCATTTTCAAGAGAATCTATTTAATAAAATGGATCTTGGTTCGGATGACTGTCGACGTTGGCAACACGGTGATACTTTTTTATATGCTATGCTGAGAAAATATTAATATATTTCATGTAAATTAATTTATTTCTTTTACCTTAATTTGCTTTACAGATCATCCGGACATACCAAAACGCACAGGAAAGGTCAATAATATCCACAAATTTGATGCGGAATATTTTGACGTTCCCTTCAACGAAGCCCATTTGTTGGATCCTATGAATAGATGTCTATTGGAATATACTTACGAAGCTATCATCGATGCAGGAATAAATCCAAAAGATTTACGCGGCACGAAAACAGGAGTTATCGTTGGAACATCTTTTTGCGAGTCAGAGAACATTATGGTTTATGAAAAAACGCAGGTACAAAATCAGTAACCATTATCATTTTGAATATTTTCGGAACGATTATTCAAGTTTTACTCACAAATTCATTTGTGTGAATATTAAAAGAATAAATTAATTTTCTACACGATTTATCAGTAGATAAACAGATTTCTTTAACTGTAAATTACTACAAAATTACATAATTTTACAGTAATATTGACCCTAAAACAATTTCGATAAACAAATATACACGAAAATTCGAATTAAACGCTTCAAATCGAGCATGTTTGTTGAAAAAAATACCCATGACATATTTTTTAAGTTAAAGTGTCAGCAACACTTATACACATATATGTGTAACGATCTATTATAAGATATCAGTGTCACATATGTGTGACGGCAAAAATATTCTTTTCTATGTCCATATTTATTAAACTAAGTTTGTTTTATATATTACGTAATTAATTTTACGTAAAAATTACTTAAAAAAATTGCTGTAGGGAGAGTTCTGTAAATAAACTGTAATAGCAAATGTGTTAATAATACAATGTTTCTCTCTATCATGTAAAATTTTAGCAACAATAATTTTTAACCATTATAGTCGTCAAGTTATTCAAGACATAAAATATTAATCCGTTCTTTGTGTATTTACCGTACATATATTTATTTATTTACACCTATTTTACTAATAAATATTTAGATTATAAAAAACATATATCTCAATGCTTATAAAAGAACTATGTCTTAAGTAAATAATATTTTCTCTTGTAAATATTGTGTATTCTCTCATATTATAATTTTATAATCACTAAAACACACAGTTCGCCGGAAGTCTGGGATGTAAAAGGAATATGCAGGCAAATCGGATTTCTTATTGGTTAGGTACAACAGGACCGTCTTTCACCATCGACTCCGCCTGCAGTTCAAGCATATTCGCCATAGAACAAGCATATAGATACATCCGATATGGAAAGTGCGATAGCATGATCGTTGCTGCCATAAATCTCTGCCTGAATCCTCAAATATCGTTGCAGTTTATGCGTCTTGGTATCTTATAATCGATATTTAACTTGCCTGTCAATTGTAATAGATATAAAACATTTAATCCTGAAATTTGAGAAGAAAATATACTCAAGTATATTTTTAATAAAAGTAACTGCAATTGGAACATTATAATTTTAGGTGTTTTATCGCCCAACGGATTTTGCAGACCTTTCGACGTCAGTGCAAATGGTTATATGAGCAGTGAAGCAATCGCAGTCGTATATTTACAAAAAGCAAGAAACGCTAAAAGAATTTATGCGACTCTTGTTTATTCCAAAACCAATTGCGATGGTTTCAAAGAACAAGGCATTACTTTCCCATCGGCAGAGATGCAAAGTCTTTTATTTCAACAGTTTTACGACGAATGCAACGTATCACCATTTAGCGTTGCTTACATTGAGGCACATGGTACTGGCACGAAAGTTGGTGATCCAGAAGAAATCAATGCAATCGAGAAAGTTTTCTGCAAAAATAGACATAGTCCTCTTCTAATTGGTTCTAGCAAGTCTAATACTGGTCACTCTGAGCCTGCCAGTGGTCTACTTCAAATTTTTAAAGTAAGAGCAATTATTAATAATTAAATAATAATTAAAGACTTACGTATTTTATCAATATTAATAATTCTTATATATGTTGTAATAATATCGCATCGATTCGTACGTGTATATGTATTTTAAATTGTTATTTGCGCGCGCGGCTAGATATGATAAGTCGTTTATCAACTTTTTTTAGCTTGACACTATAAAATAAGAACAATATAATTATCTTTTTTTTTCTGCCACATTATATTCTATTAATCTGTGATAATCGTATAAAGAAGGAAATAAGTAGGAAAGAGTTTTCTAAAAAAAATCTTTTTGGCAAGGTGGTGATAGCAATGGAAACTAGTATGATTCCACCAAATATACATTTTACAAAAGAACGGGATGATTGTGAAGCTTTCAAGAAGGGAACCATACGGGTTGTAACTACTACAACAGCATGGGAACCTACTTTTGTGGGTATAAATTCATTCGGCTTTGGTGGGGCGAATGCTCATCTCCTATTAGCACCTAATATGAAAAAAAAGATCAACGGTGGAGCACCAGAAGACGATTTGCCTAGACTCATCGTTCTGTCTGGGCGTACTGAACAAGCAGTCGAGTCATTTTTACGTGAGGTAAACACAGCTATTCTGTAAAATAAAATATAGAAACCTTGCATTTATGCAAATAAAAGTAAAATACCAACATTTTAGGTTGAAAACCAATCGGTAGATGTTGAGTATATTCGGCTGTTGCATGATCTCTTTGCTGACGACATGCAACATCATCCTTACAGAGGTTACACGATTGTCGAACCTGCAACGTTGAACAACATAATTAGTAAGGTAGAACATTATTCGGGAAGAAGAAAACCGATCTGTTATGTGTTTTCTGGCATTGGATCCCAATGGCGTGGCATGGGTATTTAATTTTTCTTTTACATGTTTATCAGCGCGCAAAGTGATAATATATTTTTCAATTATAAATAAAATTGGATTTACATGTTGGTAGGAGAGGCATTATTGCGCTTTCCAGTATTTTTGAAAACTGTACAGAAGTGTGATACAGTTTTAAGATCTTATGGTGTACACATCATCAATATTTTAACAAGTAAACAGAAAACTACTTTTGATAGTATATTAAATTCGGTTCTGGGTATCAACATGATGCAGGTGATAAACAATTTTCTTTAATCATCACTACATACATAGTAAAGACCAATAAGACAAAATAAGACTAATAAGACAAAATTTCGTTCTGAAACACATATATTTTATGAATTATAAATCACATCTAACTTATTAACTAAAACAAATTGTGAAAAATAAATTTTTATAATGCAGGATAAATGAGCGCGCGTATGAAATATCTCTGGATGTACTTTCCTTTAAACAACATATAATAAATTTTTAAAGGCGACGGTAATGTTTCCTGCAAACATTACGTAAAGTTCATGAGAGATAATATTTTATTTCTTTCCCCAGCTTGGGTTAATCGATCTTTTAATGTCAGTAAATATCATGCCAAATTATGTTATCGGTCATTCAATTGGTGAACTTTGCTGTGGGTATATAACTGGAGATCTCACGATCGAACAAGTGATTTTGTCGGCGTATTACATAGGATTGGCATTGGAAGCATCAGAAATAGTGCACTACATCATGGCGGATATCGGTCTTGGTTATACGGATACCAAGGACATATGTCCACCAGATATCAAAATAATATGCAACTACAGCTCAAATTCTTGTTGCATCAGCGGGCCAACGGAATCAATGAAAGCATTTACAAAGAAATTGGAGGTATATTTAATTTTTACTTAAGAATACATTTTATCTCACATAATATATGAAATAAATATAATGCTGTCTATCCCTGTTTACGCACACAGATTAACGAAATCTTTTACAAGGAGGTTAACTGTTGCAACATTCCTCTCCATAGTTGCTATCTTGCTCCCGCCAGAAACAAAATTTTGGATTACCTGTATCGAGTAATCCCGCAAAAGATGTCGCAGAGTCATATATGGCGTAGATTGTCTTGCGACACAGATTTATCTTGCGCAGAATACTTTACCAATAACTTAGTGAATCCTATGTTTTTCAAGGATGTCACAAGATTAATACCGGAGAATGTAGCGTTCATAGAAATTGCGCCGGATGGAATTTTGCAACGTGTCTTGATGGAATTGTTTGACACAACGACTATCGCGTTGGCTCAACGTAATTGCAAAGATAACGTCAAGGTATTTTTACAAGGACTCGGCAAGATGTACAATTGTGGCTTGCAGCCGCAATTAGCTAACCTCTATCCTACGGTAGAATTTCCGGTTAGTCGTGGAACACCGATGATTTCGCCATCGATCAAGTAAGTGGATTACATTATTTTGGTGCTTTGCAATTCATACAAAATGCGAATCGTACATAATATTGCAACGCAACCTAAAGTTGTCTTATTTTACGTTAATGTGCGCATTAATAATAGATATGTCTATATTCTCTTCTATAGAGATGTGAAGAAAGAGAAACGAATCTATTTATTTTCTCCCATTTGTGTCAATTTCCTTAATATAGAACAGAAAATGAAAAACAGGAAAAATAAAGAAAATTGCGTATATAAAAAATTTATATAAAAAAAATTGCGTATATTAAAATTTTGTATAAGTAGAACTTAAAAAAAACAATATTGCAAATTTAATCATTATAATGCGATAGTGGCGGAACACCCTGTATATACAAGGTGTCTGATAACACTGGGCAACACACATTTTAATGCCGTCACTTTGATAGCTGATTCTAAAGGATTTTGGATCGCTGAAAACGAATCTGTACTCTATTTTCACCCATCAGCTCTAGTTTTTCAAATAATTGCAAAATAATTTTTTCTTTAATTTTAATATTTTGTGATTTTCTATTTCTTGACCAAAAAATGATATCGGGGTCTGTAATACGGCATTTTACTCAAAAAGTTTCCCACAATACTGAAATTATTTTTGCAATAACCAAAAATATTATTATACAAACCACAAAGCAAAAACTTTAATAAGATCTTCAAAAAACGGGAAGAAATGGTAAAATTTCGAACACAAAAGTCAATGTAGTCAGTCAAAAAAAATCGAAAAAAATATTGCGACCTATGAATTTGTAGCTTAACTATTCTTGATCAAAGATTTCTTTTGGATCCAATTAACGATCATGTGTTAAAAAGTTATTGAAGTTAAATGTAAGGTACATGACATTGTGCACGGATCTTTCCATGTTAACCGGGTCACTCCTGCTGTTGAAAATAATTAAGAGTAAAATTAATGGACCAGCTCATAAAATTAAAGTAAAAAAAAAATAATTTTGAAGGTTGTGTGTCCTACTTCAAAATTCAAAATGACAGATCCAATATGGCGGATGCGAAAGCTAATATGTAGCCAAATATTCGTAAAAAGTGGTTATATAAGATAGCTGATGTCACTAAATTGAAAAATATATAAGATAAAAAACATATAAAAATATAAAATATGAAAATATAAAAATATAAAAAATATGAAAAATATAAAAAATATAAAAAAAAAATAAAAAAATATAAAAAATGTAAAAAATATACTCTCTAAATCCGAACCAGTGAAAAGTCACTGATATCAGTGCGAAGTATGCTACTGAACGAATTAGTAGCATACTTGGCACTGTTAATCAGTAAGTATTTACTGCTCTTCAGTATAATGAACTGATTCAGATTTAGAGAGTAAAAATCATAAAAATATAAAAACATAAAAAATAAAAAATGTAAAAATATAATAAAAGTAATAATTATTACTTTTTTTATATTTCTACATTTTTTTATTTTTATATTTTTATATTTTTTAATTCGTTCGGTTCGGTTTTTAATTCATTCATTCAGTAGCATACTTCGTAGTGAAATCAGTGACTTTTCACTGGTTCGGATTTAGAAAATATATTTTTTATATATTTTTATATTTTTTATTATTTTATATTTTATATTTTTATATTTTTTTTTATCTCATATATTTCAATTTAGTGACATCAGCTATCTCATATAACCACTTTTTACGAATATTTGACTACATAATAGCTTTCGTATCCGCCATATTGGATCTGTCCATTTTGAAGTAGGACACACAACCTTCAAAAATATTTATTTTTACTTTAATTTTATGAGCTGGTCCATTAATTTTACTCTTAATTACTTTTGACGACAGGAGCGGCCCAGTTAACGTGGAAAGATCCGTGCACACTGGCATGTATCTTACATTTAAATTCAATAACTTTTCAACATATGATCGTTAATTGAATCCACAAGAAATCTTTAATCTAGAATAGTTAAGCTACAGATTCATGGGTCGCAATATTTTTTTCGACTTTTTTTTGACTGACTACATTGACTGTTTTATTCGAAATTTTACCATTTTTTCCCCTTTTTTGACGATCTTATTACAGTTTTTGCTTTGTGGTTTGTATAATAATTTTTCTTTGTTATCACAAAAATAATTCCAATATTGTAGGATACTTTCTGAGTAAAATACCGTATTACAGACCTCGATATCATTTTTTTGTCCAGAAATAAAAAATCACAAAGTATTAAAATATTAAAAAACAAAATTATTTTGCGGTTATTTGAAAAACAAGAGCTGATGGATAAAAATGGAGTACAGATTCGTTTTTAGCGATCCAAAATCTTTCAGAATCAGCTATCAAAGTGGTGGCACTAAAAAAAAGCTTCAATTTTGTTCCCTTGTGTAATTGTAACATCAACTCCATAGAGGCGTAGAGCTAAGCGAGATGATTAGAAAAGACCTTTTCCATTTCGCGAAAACGCGTCTAGTTTGTTAGTAACAATCGCGTAAAGTTTGGAGTTTATTACGCCCATCGCGGCCTATAGACACTCTGTGACGAGCTATATGTGTCGAGGCTGAGAGGTAACGTGGCGCGTTCATCGTCGCCTCGCCGCGCGTCGGCAGCATCAAAGTGTCAAGACGCCATTGTTACATGATTATGTATCACACTGTACAAATTTTCTTTAATTAATATCTAAAAATCTGTGTGGTTATTTGCAAAATGGTAGAGGACTTTTTTGTTCAGACTTTTTTGACTTAATGTATAAGTATACAACGATAGACGGCGCCACGGCAGCTCTTCTACCATACTGCGCGTGATCATTCACCAATTTTCTTTAATTAATATTTCAACTATTATTTCGAATATCGCAAAACGGTATGGGACTCTTGTGTTCATCTCAATCCACTCTACGTCCTCACAAAAGAATGTGAAGGCGATCCAGGATACCTTGTATACAAAATATATACAATTGCTCGGACAACCGCCGTGTATGGGTAGAACGGGTCAAAATAATCATAAAAATTATATACCATTTTCAAATTTTCTCAATATTTATTCCGTAATTAATTAAAATGTATAAACAAATGAGCTTACGAGAAGCAGTAGGACAGGCTCTGTGTGCAAAATAAATGGCTTACCTCTTAGGAACAGATGAGTAAACAGCTGTTTTCGAGACGGAGTAACGTATATATATCGCTTGTTACTCCGCCTCGAAATCGAAGCTGTTTACTCATCGTTGCTAAGAAATAAGCCATTTCTTTTACACGCAGAATCTGTTCTATCGCTTCTAGTAAGCTCATTCGTTTATACATTTTAATTAATTACGGAATAAATATTGAGAAAATTT